GCTGAACCTGTTGAGCGATAATCGGCCACTGACAGTGCTGCAGTATGACCGTGTGATCCGTTACCTGCAGGATAAGCGTGAGATGCAGCTCCAACTTGAGCTTGGTGATGCCAAGGACTTGCCCCCTGTTAAGTCTGTCACAGGTATGGTCAATGTTGCCATGAATCATGATCTTTAGAATTAATTTATATTTGTATGTGTTTCATAGGTCACACTGGCTCTTGCTAGCTTCTTTTCATTCAGTTTGGTTAGGATACAGGCTTCACATATTGATTGATTTCAGCGTTGTATGGTGTGTCACCAAGAAAAGATGTACATTTTATTATAGCACTGAAAATTGAAGCTGAATTGTTGTATTAAAGTTTGATAAGAATGATTTGATTTACCAAGTTTGATTCATTGCTTGGACACCAGGTTTAATTAATTGTTAGAATTTTTATTGAATGTCGCATTTGAGCGATTAATACACTTTCTTTGTATTGGGGAGGTCCCGGTTAAGTACGACCCAGAGATGGGCTATCCTGACATCAAAATGTTGGGATTGTATCTCAAGTTAGACCACTGTTCTGTAACCATTGTACAATCAAGGTTACATGTGTGTCCTACATTTTTATAAAGAATTCTTTATTTGCATGTTACAGTTAGTTACAAAGAGGCATTAGCTTATCTTTCATTCACACATGTGCATGCGCACAGGTTTATCATTCTTAGTTTTTTTCTTTCAAGTGCCTGCATTCTTTGGGTAGGAATTTATATGTTCATACATATTTATGGTCATGTATAGTTTCATACCCCCTTTTCTTGAGGTGAAATTTTGTGGTATTCCATATTGTGTCTGACAAATTAGGGTGTACTACAGGTGAAGAAAGTTTGCAGAACATTGGGTTAGACTAAAGTATATAAAATAAGCAAACAAACAAACTATGAACATTATAAAAAAGACACTAGTGCCATACGTGTTTCAACCTCAAGAGGTAGTAACACCCACGCTTCGTTGGAGTTCACAGGTACGGACGACGCAACCACGGCTCGCCACAGACCAGCTACGGACACCGGACCATCGGATCAATAGCTAAGTGCAGAGTTCAACTCCTGTGAATACCAACATCCAGTGTGGTGTTGCTTGATATGCTTTTGTAAAATACTCTACTTCATTATTTGTTTTCTAAACCATTTTGGTTAAATGAATTAATTTCCCTGTTGCCACTGATGATGACCTCTTGAAGTTGAAACGCGTATGGCAATAGTGTCTTTTTATAGTGTTAATAGTTTGTTTGTTTGCTTATTGTATATTCTAATACACTACATGGTATTACATAATCCTATCAGAAATTCCGTTGTTTCAGATCCAGCCACTAAGCAGCAGGTTGACCTTCAGCATCGTATTCTTAATATTTTGAACAACACATCAGGTACAAGTGGACCGGCTGTTCCTAACATTCCTACAGCTGTTCCTGCTCCCGTAGCACCGGTTCCAGCTCCCGTCGCACCTGTCACTGGCGGTTGGGGTCTCGGTTCCCAAGGCAGTGCCGCGGGTGCAGGACCTACGCCATTGCTCAATGATCCCACAGTACAAAAAGCACTGGACAGCCTCATCCAGGGCGACCTGCTTCGTAAGATCTCGACATCCACCCCCGCAACAACTACTGCCTCTTCCCTTGGTACACCACCCGCACAACCATTGTTTGGGGCATTTGCTGGTGGTGCAGGACGTAGGTTCTAGAATTTGAGATTGTGAACTTTAGAGCTGAATTATGAACAGGTAATTTCAGTGTGGAGTGCAATGCGGTAACAAATGAAAAGGGTGTCTGTTACATGTGTTTATAGGAAAATACTGGCATTGCTATTTCCGGAATAATATTTCGGTATATATACAATTCAGCGAGCAACTGAAGGAAAGAGCAAATTATACTTTTGACATGTATCGTATTACTTTGCACACACAGTGTTTGCTAGTGGTGCAGATTGTCGATTCTAGAATAGAGGTTGTAAAGTTCAAAGTCAAATTATGGACAGAGAATTTAACGGAGAAAGTGCAATGCAATGATGCGTGAAGAAAAAGTTGTTTGTTGGCTATATTAGCATTGCTGTTTCCAGTGTAAAATCTAGGCATGTTGCTATTGAGCAAAGTGATTCAAGTAAAGACAAAATTACACTTTTGACTTGATTTAAATTGCTTTACACACCCTGCATGATAAAATTGTGTGAGGCTGTGAAAATGTTGTGTAGTTTGGCTCATTCAGTGTTTTACAGGATTATTACAACGAATTGAAAACACCTTCAAAAATTTGTTTTTGCCAGAGATGTGGAAAATGGCATTATCACCAAATACAGTGTGTGATAACATCACCTTATTCCACCCGGTTTAGATTCACAACAAAATGTGCGCCTTGCTTCGTTAACATCTTCAGTATTTGCTTGAATCACATGGAGTATGTGGGGTTTCATGGCTAATCATTTCCATAAAATCTTGTAGACTGTAGGTTGTGACTTGCCTCATTCCCACATAGCCCCTTATGTTGATTTCCTTGGGCTATGTACATATGCGGTGTGCTCCTGCTCGACTGTTTCTTCATTTACCCTGCCTTGCCAGGACCCTTTCCTCTGTCCAGACATCCACTTTCTGAAAACTTTATTGCATCCATAAATCTAATTTCTTCATTGTGGATCTTTTAGGGAGGTGTTCCTAAATAAGTATTGCTTACTTGGTCTCCACAAATCGCATAACTCACGTTGCCGTTTAGTCTGGTAGAAGTTTACCAACATTTCATAGGTCCTTGCTGCCTCCATCATCAGGGTGAGCTAAGGTGGTGATGGAGGCAACAAGGATCTTTGAAATGTTGGTAAACTTCTACCAGACTACAGTGCAACAACCCAGAAGACAGCCATCTTCAGACTTACCGCTGTGAAAACCTCACATCCTTCTTATAGTGTCTTGCAAAGAATATCTTTGCTTGTGTCTGTACAGGAATGTCCATTTCTGCCTGCAGATAATTGCAGTTATCTGTAGTGTGATGTCTTGTGTTTAGCTCGAATAGTGAATGGAATGTATTGAAGTTACCCTTCTGCAGAGAAGCATCTACTAGTGATGTGGCAAACCAGTTTAATGCAAAACAACTTTCCACCCTGGTTACCAGATGTAACTTCTTGTTGACGTATTTTTATCAACTGCCACCTGGGTCTTTCAGTCACACCAGTAACATGAAGTACTGTACCCAAAATAAATTCTTATATTCCTGGCCTAGTTTATGTGCTTTATCCATTGAGAGGATAATTCCATATTTCCAAACCTCTTTTGACTAAAGGCCTCCAGCTGGGAGTAGTCTTAAACTGCAGTTACCCTGTGCAAGGCATCTTAGACCTTTTTTTTTGTAAAGCAAAACGCACATATCATGTTGTGCCATATATTAAAAATGGCACAGCTACAGCTCATACACATTAACATGAAAAGAGAGAGCATTTATTATGCTGTAAAAACTCTTTGATAGTATATGGTAATGAACATATATACAATAATATGTGGGAGTGGCCAGGGAGCACAAAACAAACTATAACCAAAATCCACCCTACACTGACACGGCAGTTTCCCAAGAAGTACTGGATAATAAAGCAAGATTAGAAATTACGTGGTGGACATAATGTTTGTGACCACCATTGTCGTAGAACGTTCCCTTTGTGCCGAAACAAAATTTAGAACACTTACCCAAAGAGAAATTCAAGATATTTTCCCTGCACAGATGTGATCCTTGAGTTTCTAGGAAATATTGTTCAAGGTAGAATAGGAGACAGGCAAGGGGTGGGGGGGCATGGACAAGGGATGTGCATGTTCGGCAGGATGTCTTATAACACCAAACCAGTTGGTGATGTAAGGGGAAAATAATCGTGCACATGGCATATGTTGATTTCTGTATCTTGTTTAGTTTACTGAAAATGAATGTTTGAAAGTGTTCTCACTTTTTTTGTAATGATCCTGTATCATGTTGCAAATTTACACTTCTAATGGACTGATAGGCATATTTGGCATTGTTACATGGGCAAAGTAATTTTGTGTGGCAGCGATAAGCAGCATATGAAATAATGGGTTCCTTATCAATTTCCATTTTTAATACATTGGTATTATCTCTGATTAATTTTATACGTTTCCTGTTTTAAAAGAGGTTTATTTTTGAATAAGATATGATGTGGTAGTGAGCCACGGTGGTCTAGCGGTTAGAACGCTGGCCTTGTAATCCTGGGGGTCTCGGGTTCGATTCCCGGTGGTGCCCGAATTTATAACTTGTGTTGGGCAAGGCCGTGGTCTAGGCAACACGGAGTTTTCCTCCGTGGCATCCCAACAATTACTCCATTCACACACAGAAGAAGGCAATGGCAAACCACTTCTGGATCATCTGCCAAGAACGTGTATGAACAGGTCCCAGTCCGAGAAAAGGATGGAAGGATCCTGTTCATATGGACCTGTCGTCAGACAGAACACTTAAAAAAAATGATGTGGTAACTTTAGCATAAGAGTCAATGTCTTTTATTGCCCCTTTTGAGGCATTCCATTCATTTGATTTCCAACTATAAAGCTCTGAACATTTTCTACCACTGAAGTGCATCTCTGTATTAATCATTGCAGGGTTGAGAATATCAATTTATTGTGCTCTGAAGTAGGTATCTTGGATGTTTGATAGTGTACATGAAAGCATGCTTTTTTGCCATCTCTTGCTTCATACTTTTTTTGGTTCATGTTTGTAAATTATATCTTAGTTCACCACTGATACATAAAAACAAATATGGGAACATTACTTTTCTTATTTGTAATTTTTCGCACATTTATTTTTTCTGTCAACAGTACGTGCTACTGGCATCTTTTTCATAAAACAGAAAGTAGAAAAAATCTGTTACAGAACTTGTGTAGAAGTATATTTATATTTTAGTAAGTCAATTTCTCTTGTTCACTTTACTAAAAAAATTATATATTATTTTTAATACTTTGAATGTATACTTTTGTGATGAAACTTGTGAAGCTCCTGTCCTCCCTCCACTCTGTACCAACATCATTCTTTCTTCTAAAAGAAAGGCTGCAGTGAAATAAAAATGTATGAGTTATGCATTTCTTAACTAACACTTCCAGTAACAGATTTGAGATTTTCATACTTCGGCCACAATGTAATACAGAAATAAGCATTTCTGTTCACAACTGCTGCTTGCATCATTCATTGTGACATTCACAAACCATATGCATTCTTTTTATTTAAGTGAAGATATTTTAGAAGCTTTTTGCTTGAATCTTGTCCTCAGTCTGACATAACATGCTCAACAGTACGTTCCTTTGACTTGACAAAAGTGGCACATGCCCACTGGCTTGTCCCTCACTCAAAAGAATTAAACATCTTAAACGCTAAGTACATAACTTGTCTTTAAAGTATGATGCTTTGGTCTTTAATCTCAACATTTTTAGAAATATAAAAAATGTCAATAAAAGTAAGCAACTACTTGAAAGAGTTTTTACAGGACTGTAACATTAAGATGGGAAAAGCATGATAGAAAGTGGATATTATGAATATTAAAGACTTACTGGCGCCAGTTGGTTTAACCGGAACCGCATGATGCTTGTTACTGGCGCCAGTTGGTTTAACCGGAACCGCATGATGATGCTTGTTACCACATAGTGAACAGTTGGATCTCTTAGGTATTAATTCTGGAGGGAATAAAGTGAAGGGCACGTGTGAATTCCTCATCACAATTATAGAAGGCAGTATGCACCATATCGGCTGTTTCTGTAATTCAAGAATAAACGTGCCTTCTGTAACAATTATTTACTAACTGCACAGTACAGTTCGTGCGCTTAGAGAGATGCTAAATTAATAACTAACATGACATCATGGTGAAATAAAAAGTTCTGAAATATGGGAAATGTGTTGAGATATAAGCAGTTCTTATAGATTGATGTTGGTCTCCTGGGTAGTACAGGACTTGTAGGCAGATGCCATTTTCTTCAGCCCTGAGTATGGAGGCAGTATGTTCCTCTGGAATGTTATCTATCTACAAGTACAGTTAATGTTAAACTTCACCGCTATGAACTGATATAATTCAAATTATTCCCAGAAGATATAAGAAACTTGCAGAAGTAAAGAGAAAATGCATCTACACACTACATTTTGAATTGAGTGTACTTGACTACAGCAAAGGGCAGCCGTTTGGACAGTCCTTCATACACTCAATCACCATAGGAGAGAGATTAAGTGAACCTGTGGCTGATATTGTACTAGAACAGACATGTTGGACTGCATTCGACACCTCATTTGATGTTTACTTATTGAAACATCCTTAGAACCAGTTTTGGTTTATTTTTTGGGCTCAGGCTGAAACTTGATCTTCTGACTGTTCTACTGAGTTACTAAGTTAAACAATATATGTGGAAGAGTTAACATCCCTGATGTAGTAAGAATTCTGTTTTCTTAGAGTGTTATGTTGTATGTCTGTGTTAAAAGTAAAGTGATTTTGGCTGAGTACTGTTCCAAATTACAAGCTGACTTAACTCTCTGCCACACCATTTATATGAGGTGTGTTCAAGAAAACCCGAACTTTTGCTATAAAGACTTTATTGCTAATTTTTACAACATTTTAAGCTCTGTCCCCTTCAAAGTAGTCCTCTCTACTGGCGATACACCGTTCGCAAAGTTTCATCCATTGTTGGAATGCTTCCTGGAACGCACTTTCTGTGATGGCGCGCAGTTCTCTTATCGCATTTTCCTGAATTTCTATGGTTTGGAAACGACGTCCTTTCAAAGTGCTTTTAAGTTTGGGAAACAGGAAAAAATCTGCTGGGGCCAAGTCCGGAGAATAGGGTGGATGGGGCACAATGGTTGTTTGATGTTTTGCCAGATAACTGCGGATGAGGAGCGACCCGTGAGCCAGCGCATTGTCGTGGTGCAACATCCAAGTTTGGTTTTCCGACGAACAGCTTGTGCACGTACTCAGTTCAGCGGATGTAGCTCGACGACTATGTTCATAGCGGCAAATGGCAGTTTGTCGTCAAAACCTGCCGCTAGGGGCGC